ATCGATTTACCGCTATAGCAATTACATGCGTTACATGCAAATTCGATTTTACCCCGCTCGCTCGATTGCTTAACATAGTTGCAGCATCACGTCTGCGAGTATTTATACTATATCTCATTGGTGAAGTGGTACATCAATTCAGTACTGACATACGCGGTGTTTTGTTAACGGTAAACGTTATTGGCCAATAGTGATTTAGCGGCGGTCGACGAAAATTCATTCCCATTAAAGAATGATTGACGTAACTGACGTTTATATAGGCTTTTACCCGTGACGTACGACACAGTCGTAACGGTCGCGATACTAACTACTTTCCTCAAGAAGCAATAAAATTTACGTGACGTGCGACGCACAACGTCGTACTTGTATTTTTATTCTTTTAACCCCTTCGATCATTTTTCTGAACTCACTTCGTTGGTATTTTTTTATTCCTATACTTACTACGGAATGTTACTTGAAAGAAATGAGTTTTCCGTATCATATTATTTAGATTTTGGCATAACACAAGAAAGAATGGAAAATCCTTAATGACGTTACTTACAACTTGCTTTAATATTAACCATTCAATTTTATTAAACTTTTCATTTCTAACATGTTTCTCTATAAATACATACATGAAAGAAATAAAGATGTAAATAGATAATTACGTAGTAGTACTATTTATATGTAAATTTTTTATGAAATTATCTTCTGACACAGACTTCTAATCATATTCTCAGAAATTTCTTACGTGTGTGCGTCATAACATAATCCAATATCTATAAATAGAATCTTTTACATCCAATATATATATTTATTATTATCCAATATAATATTTATTATATTCCAAGAAGACTAAACGGTCTACTACTTGTATCGTTAAGTAGACAAAAGTTATCCGAAAATTTCACTTTATTTCTTCAAGAATTTCAAATTTAACTTTACATTTAAGATACATTTAGATACATTTAAGTACATTTTAGATATTCGCAAAAACAATTTTTGGTACGAAATTCGAGGAAAATTGCACAAACATAAATACGCAAAAGTGGAAAAACGACGTCATACGTTCATGGCTAAAAATCACGCCACTTCCGGTTTATGTTCGCTATTTCATGACCGTCGAAACGAGCGGCGTTCCTATGTTATATTACCACTGCGTATTTATGCGTGCGTAAAAAAATACATGTACGGATAATGCGCTAATACAAGCACGACCCTTCGGTCCTTCGATACCGCGCCCCTACGACGCACTAGCGTACGCTTTTATGGAAAATGTCAGTTTTAAAGCGACCACAATTTTATATCGAGAATCCTGAATTTTTTTTTGGAATTATCAATGATTTTTGATGATGACTCTTTATATCGTTTCAATTTTGTTTCATAACTTTTTATACTACATACTCTTCATACGAATACGCTTTGGTGATGACGTTATATAAGGATTGCAAATTCCAAAATATAATTAAAAACGGCAATAAAACAAATAATATAAAAATATGTAAAATTCAAATATAGCGGGAAAAAAATAATACGTGTGTAATATTTTTTTCGGGTGCGCGATGGTTCAGAGCGACTATAACAATGTCTATAAATAAATCAATCAATTTCTCCGTTGTCTCCTATTTTTGCACGTAATTTCGTCAAGTTTATGGCTATCCGTTTTACTCATATGTATATTTGAAGAGGAAGAGAGAATAAAAAAAGAGATATCATCTAGTATAATTTGTAAAATTATCTAGTATAACTTATAGAAACTGTGACGTTTCTTAAAGGGATACAACAAGGGATTTTCTTCATCTCTTTTATCATGTACATCGAATCGTGGTTCGCGAACAAGTTCGGTTTGCGTCTTTGACAAAATTGCAATTATGAGACGCAGTTGCATGTATATACATACAGAGAGGATGGCGGGGGAAGAACGAGAGAGGGAGAACGTGGATGCGCGTAAATGTAGATATTTGCCAGGAAATTGATAACTCGAATAAACTCGTCGCAAAACATTCAAACAGGCTGCCAAACGGTACGATTGTACACTCCAATCCCCGGCTACGAGCCAAACACCGCATATCTCCCCTCCTCCCCTCCCTCCCCCCCCCCGATCGCAACGGCCGTACACGCGTTCGTGGAGTGATGCGAGCACGAGCGCTACAATGCGCATATTACTTGCTCGCCAGTATTCTCCGCACCGAACTGATTACAAGCCGATTTGCCGGGTGATTTTATTTCGATTTTATTTCTAATAAAAGATCGCTAACAACTTTATTAATGATAATAATTAAAGAATTAATCATATTGCTTTATAACAAAGTGTAACTGATGTAATGAGTCTCATTCAGATGTGAATAATAATAATTGCGTAAAAAAAGTCAAAAAAAATTACACAGAGGGAAACGGTATTACTAAAATGAAATGTCTAAAAGTTTAGCCAGGTATAGAAAATAATTTTTTAATCGGACCATCAAAATAATAATTATATATATATATATATATATATATATATATATAAGTTGTTTGCTAGAATATGAAAAAATTTCGTAATATTATCGTACTTTAAATGTCTTATATCTTATTTCGATGGCCTAACAAAATTATTTTCAGATTTGTATCCGATTAAATCTTTAGATACTCGAGCAATACCGTTTTTTTCCATATAGAATTACATGTCTTTAATCGAATCATGAAATTATTGGAGAAATTATTACAGATATAAATGTCAACTCGCGACAACACGTTTCGTGATCTTTCCCACTAATAAATAAAGTTTAGAAATGATGACAATTATTGAAACGATGATAGTTGATTATAGCAACTTGTGGATGCGGCCGACACACGCGTTACAGACGCGAGTCAATATTAACTCGATATTTTTGCCGCATTTAGAGTCAAACAAACGCAATGTAAATTGTACGATACAGTCGTGTATGATTATTTGCCATAAATAGCGATGAAGCACGAACGCGAGCGTATGTCAACCAGGTCTCTATACGCACCCTTCACGGAGCAGTTCAAAAAGGGCGCGAGTGTATAATGAAAATACCGCACTATGTATGGAGTATAAAATAGGTATGTACGCGGCCAATTTGCATAATAGCGTCAACGTCCGAGATATCAAACGATAGATTAATAATATCTCCGGCGCGTCATCGGGAGGGAATCACGGTTAGCGATAAATTTTCAACCTTTGTCAAAGGGATTTCAAAATAAAAAGGAGCCCTACGAAGGGAAGAGACATATTACGTTTCATTACACGAAATAATTAGCGCGAAAGTGACTGTAATTTTTCGTAATTACAATCGATTCTTCGCTCGCGATCATGCGAATAATTTTCCGCAACTGACTGTCCCCTGTTGTGCGACGCAACATGCCGTGAATCGCCACAAAGTCGGTATCAACTAATTAGCAACGCGCTAACATCGCACTCGAGCGACACGGTCAAAGGGCGTCGTTATTCCCGCGCCGAACTACGCGGAAAAAAGAGAGAGAGAGAGAGAGAGAGAGAGAGAGAGAGAGAAAGCGCAAAGGGGGGAGACTTTTTCGTGTGAGTCCAACCCTTTTTCGTAAATCAAACGAAAATTAGCCGTCGAAAAAGCGAGCGAACTGAGCATCGCGTGCTTTTTCACCAACGGTTAATTTGCACGGAGAAACGTATGATTTCTCACGAGGTTGCAGGATTCGACGCTTGATCTGTTTTTCTATTTTGAAAGAGGTTATTTCTATCTTACATTTTGAATAGAAAGAGATATTGATAATGTTTTAAAAACGAATCATCAAAAATATCAAGTACAGTTTGTTTGTAAAAAGATATCGAAATAGCTATTCCGAAACAAATATAAATCAGATAATCCGAAACTTTAGAAAAAAAGATCCGAAACTTTGGAAAAAGACAAAAGGAAATTCAGAAATGATTGAAAAATAAGTATGAAACAATAGATACTAATCAATTTCACAGCAGTTGTAATCAATATGAATACGTTCTTTTTCATGATAAAATAATAAAATTAAATATTTTATTAAATCTTCGTGACAATTTGTTTCGAGTCGGTCTAAATCTAACAAATCTTTAGAAAATTATCTCGCTTTATATTATTTAAAATGACAATTTATCTCAGCAATTCGAACTCGAAGGAAGGTGCACGTTGAAGCATGGAAAAAGCATGGACGGCGGCGGCAGCGGCAGCGGCGGCGTCGTGACCAGGGGAAAAATGGATGGCTCTATCTTTTGGTAATTAAGACAACGGCGAAAAATAAACAACCGCGCGACAGAGACAAGAAAGAAGGAGATAAAGAGAGGGCGAGCCCTCCGCGCGCGTGAAACGCGCTTCTTCAGGGCTCTGTCCGTGGCACAGCTGTTACGTCGCCGGGGGTTCAAATAAACGACTTAGGTAGATTAAGCATACAAATCTCGATGATTCCGCTCCTGTTGTAGCCGGCTTTAACCCGACCGTATATCGGGGTCAACATGAAAAAATATACGAGTTGGCCACCCCGTACGCCCACGACTCGGGAAAGCTCGCGTTCTCAGACAATATGACGTGTGTTTCTTTCGCTTATCTCTCAAGATACATACCCGGCGTATATCTTGAAAATTTCGAACACGCAGCTGAGTTTGGTCAGCGAAAAAAATGTTTACGACAAATGGAAAAAAAAATCCATGTGATTATCCTTAGGATTACATCAATAGGGACATTTTACCGATTGACACGAAATTTTCGGGTCATTTTACGCTTTTCTCGAAGCAATGTGTAATATTAACAAAGCTCAACGAACAATTGAAGTTAAAAAAAATTGATGTTATTGATGTGACATCGCGCGAAGAACGCAAATGATCAATATTAATGCGATCAAATATCGAGCGTATAATAATACAATTAGAAACCGTGTGAAACCGCGTCGATCGAACACTGTTACAAATGTTAATTAAAGATTCAGGCCTGAAATTAGTTTCTACCAAGCGATACCAACGTCGTATTGATCCGTTTGAAAAAGAAATTAAGCGACATGCATAATGTTGTACTCACGTCTGTACGGTCGTCCCTCCTCCGGAGTGGATCGCTCCGTGTTTTCGGACCCAGGCGTGGCGTTGGCGTCGCGGTCTTCCTCGTCGGGGGTGGCACCACGATTCGGCACGGAACCGGTACCGCCGGTGCCGGTAGGCGAGCGGCTCGCGGAACCGGCCGGACTTTGTGGCCCGCCAACTTCCTGGCCGGCCGCGGCGGCGGCGGCGGCCGCGGCGGCCGCCGCACTGGAAACAGATACCACCGCACCCCCGCCAGCGCCCGGCAGGGGATGTGGGCGAGAACATGTTCGACATGCTCGAGAGCGAGCCGATGCTGGGTAGGCCGCCGTTCCCCGGCACCGTGCCGTTCCCAGTCTCGACCTTGAGACACTTGTTGGGGGGCGCAAACGCGGACGGCACCAAGGGTCGAAAGCTGCCGAAGGGCAGTCTGTGATCGAGCGGGTGCAAGAATTGCGGCGGCAGATGCAGCATGTGATGCAGCCCGTAGCCCAGCGACGCCGCCGTGCTGAAGGGCACCTGTAGATCTTTCGAATCGGTCACCTGAGACAAGCGAGAGAAAAAAAGATTGATAAAAAAATGTGTTGACCAAATAGTTCCGTTAGATCTGTTAGATTTCTGATAGTTAAATACTTAAATACAGCGTTATTTTTGTCACGAAAGCTTAATAAAAGGGTTAGTGTAAAAACATAATACTATAATTTTATAGAAATCAGCTTCAACTAAGTTAATTTTCAGCCAATAAACATTGTTAGTTAATAATTATTAATTAATTAATTAAACACAATAAATACATAGAAAATAATATCAGAGAAAAAGAAAAAGAGAAATAAATCAAATATATCCAAATAAATCGTATATTTATATATTCTCCGAATTGTATATTATTATTATTGTATATAATTATAAGAGAAGAACTGAGAAGAGATATTTTTTGAAAACAACACTCGAGTGTTATTTCATAACACTTTTAATAACACGATACGTTTAAACATCGAGAATTTTGCAAACGATTGTATCATGATTTAGTAATATACTTTTTTATTCCAACAGTTGATAATTCGTTTTAAGATCATCGTTTTAAAATCGCCGTGTGTCTCTAATATTCAATTTCCTATTAATTTCAATGGCACAGACATTTACAAGAGAGGTCCTAACGTTTACCCCGTTTCGCGAAACCACCCTCGCATTATCGAACTCGACAGGATAACTTTATTCCACGTACGCGTGACGAGCGAAAAAATATTTGAATCGCGTAACTCGATAGCTCATTTGCAGCATGTGGGGTATTTCCGCGCTTTCAGCTACGTCTGAATGGCATATAATATCAAAGCAGCGTAGCGGTATACTGTTAATAACGCGAAACCACTGTGTTATAATAATCCGTCAAAACCTGAAGCTCTTCTCCCCCACGGCTCTCTTCTACCCCCCCGGTGTACCGGTTGTATCATTCAATTCGCCGTGATTGACGAGTCTATTAAGCCGCATACTGAATGCTCGGCCGAAGCATCTACGCGTTGGATTTTGTAACATTTATAATGCCAGAATTATCGGATCGTATTAAACGTGGCCAAAGTAATAACGGTGCATTGTATTTCCTGTGCCTCGACTTGTCGAAAAACGTAATGACGCGAATAACACGCGATTGTTTCGACGCGTAATTACGCACGAGTACCTCATGACGTAACATCATACTTCAAAAATATTCATAACGTTATTTTTCAAACTCGTTAAAGAAAATATTGTTATATTTGCGGTGTGCTTTTGTAACCGTATACGGTATTTGACTTTAGAAGAAAAATTTATTCGCGTTACTTGTTATTATTTTGAATATCCCAGAATTATATTGCAATTTTTTTCCTTTTATTCGTATCTTCTCGACAATTCAAAACAGAATTTTCCTTAACAAATCTCGAAATGTTCGTGTCGCGGTAGTTCACGTGGAATTGTTTTATAGATTTCGATATCGAAACTCATCTCGAATGAAAGCGTTAAGTATTACTTGTCAGCATCCCACGCGGCTAAGGGGACGTTACGGAAGTACGAAATGATGATTTCATCGGCGAGAACGGACAACTGGTTTCCGCATAAACATTTCATTCGGCCGATAATGACGCAGGCGATGAGTTACACGTGCGGGTATTAGTACGCCGCGATTAGTTTATTATTCTTTTATACGGGGAAATGAGGTTCGCGTTCACCGGCCCGGCGTATTTGCGCCCGCGGTCCAATCAGTGATTTATTAGGTATTCATTATTATTTTAATTGCGACCCCGGCCCTTTTTTCGCGACCGGTGACGACGCGCGACGCGCGTCGCTCGCATATTTGCAATAATCTTTTATTTTTTGCCCGACCCCTCCCCCTCCCCCCCCCCCCTCCTTCTCGCGGGCGGTAAAACGCGAGCGTATTTTGTCATCGCGCCACCACAATTAGGTTCGCTCCGAAATTATCTCATTTTTTAACGATGCTGAATTTTGATGCGGCTCCATTCTCTCTCGCTGTCTGTATCTACCGTTCCGCATTTGCACGCGTTATCCGAACCCGATTGATGTCCCGCACGTATGAAAAATATTCAAGCATTTAAAAACGCCGTGGAATACGCTTATAATTAACCGCGACGCTCGTTCGTTAAATATTTGCGGTAATCACGGTTATGAGATAGAAATGCGTGTGATATAAAATTGTATTTAAAAGAGTCTTGTTATTATCGAAACTTTAATAACGGTATTTTCTGTAATTCGTTATCGATACGTTTTCATTGTGTTACATAAAATATGGAAATAACTATAAAAAAAAAAAAAAAAAAATTACAAAAGCATTTTAATGTAATATTTCAATATTGAAATATTACCACACAGGTTATCAATAAATTTCTTTTAAAATTAATAAACAATTCGCAGCTGAAATACAAATAATACTTACAACTAATTTTAGACGTCATAAATTATTTTTTGATCGAAAAGATACTTACGGGCATCCCACGGGTGCAACATGCTTTATTTCTCTTTTTCTATACTTAACACACACTACATCAGTAATGCGCAATCTATATGATACATGCCTTTTTCCTTTAAAGTCTAAAGTTTAAAAATGTGTGAGTAAATATTTCAATATCTTTACTTGCAAAATGTAAAGACAATTATTTGGTAAAAATCATAATTTTTATTTTTAGAAATTTATCTTTCTCGATTATATCCTTTTTTGCTTATTGTTATAATTATTATCTTTAAGATAGATCGTTTATAACGTGGCAACGATCTGTTCGATCGAAGAAAATTGCGCATCACTGACTTGATACCGAACTGTTATTCGAGCATTCACATTTATACACACGCACACAACTAAATTTCTATTCATTGCGTGCATTAATTAGTACTGGCATGTATAAAACGGCACAGATATGCAAAGCGAGATGGAAGTAACTCGAGCTGTCTGACGCGCTCGCCGAAATCAATGTCAGTAAATTTTTTTTTTTTTTTTTTTTTTTTTTTTTTTTTTTTTTTTTTTGTTTATTTGATTATTTTATTATACATGTTTCAAGTTGCTTTTTCTACCAAACAGTCACGTATGTTACGTCAAATACGATATACTCGAATTACCGGTTTCGTTGCATACTACACAAGCGAGAAAGTGAGTTAACCCTTTCAGATAACTTACTTCATCGATTGAATTCGATTTGAAAAATTCGATTTAAAAAAAAATTGCACGAACATTACGTTATTATTTCCTCGCTAAAATAATTACGTAATATCTATCGTGTGCAACTTATGATATGTAACCGAATTCAATCGAAATCAAAGTGATACGCTTCGAGCGCTCGAAAGTTCACAAGATATATAATATTTATTTCTTCGTAAAAATGTAAGAATTTTGAAACGTGAGACAGTCAGAAATCTTTATCTGAGAGATCAAGGGTTACAACGCGTTTCAAATGTAGAAATGGGGGGGGGGGAATAGAGCACAGGTGCGAGGAGGTAAATGCAAGCTGATGTGGAGGCCTTAAACGTAAGGGCGCAAGGACAATGGGACACTAACTTGTGGATTGAACGGCCTTTGCATTCTCAAGGCCTCAGGCAGCCCTCCGGCCTGCGAGAACACGACCAGAGACGGCGGCGGTAGGTGATTCGGTACGTACGCAGAATTATCCATCTAAAACATACATCGTCGTTTTCTTCCCTCCGTGTTATCGTCGATTAATCGCATTCCCTATTCTAGATACGCTCGATTACGCGAGACTCGAAGAGAATTTCGCACGAAATGAATCTCGGAAACGCGACGGCCACGCGATCGGACATACCTTATCGATCGCGTTTATATTGGCTAATCAATTATTAATTATCGAGTTCATCGGATCTTCGTGATCTTCGCAACTACGACGGTAAATATGGAGATTATGAATGGCTATCCCCATCGCGTGATTTGCGATTACCTCTCGATCAATGAAATTTTGTCACTTTAATTTCTCATGTGGACTTTTTCTATTTAATGTACTTGTTGTTAATTAATTATATTTCTATAAATTTTAAGTGCAGATTTTTTTTTCTCAAAACTTTCTCAAAGAAAATCTAGAATCTTCTAGAGCTTATATTAAAATTATTTTTTAACTTAACAAATAATATTTGTCAATATTTACAATTGCTTTTTTTAATAAGCAATAGAAAATTAACAAAATAACTGTTCAATAAAATATTCGTTAATAACACAGAAAAATGTTTTGAAAATTGTATACTTTGAAGATTTGTAACTAATAATATTATAATGTACTAAGATTAAACTTTAAATTCAAAGAATGCACGAGCTTTTTCGAAATGACGTATGTAAAATTACATTATAATTTTTTTTTTAATTTAATTTTAATTTCTGATTCTTATATTCAGATTTTACCAAAACCATTGTTAAAGTGACAATTCGAATGTTATAATTTAAGAATGTATAAAATTGGGAATAAGAGGTCACCGATCGAAAAGTGAATTCAATAAATTAGCTCGACTCGTCAATGAGGATTACGTCGTGGCGCATTAATTACATCGATGAGAATTATGTCGTGTTCCCTGAGCGGAATGAAATTATAACCTTATCAATTTCATATTGGCACTTCGTACACAAAAACAGTTTAATTAATTATGGAATACCGGAATAAAAGCCAACCAGTATTCTCTATTGACATAGTTTATCTTTGTACAATTTGATAATTATATTAGTTCTATATCTTTTAAAATTGATTTTTAGAACACATTGGAATTTTTATCATTATTGTATCGCATACTAATCACAGTGTATTGTTCACAGTAAAATTGTGCCCTAATTATGTGAATGTAATGAAATTTCTAGAATCTCAGATTCGGGAATTTTACATTCCAAATCGATTTTGCTCATTCTGATGGTATGCGATTAATTACAAATTTTAAAATCACATATATATATATATATATATATAAGAAAGATTTCATATTTTAATTAAATTCTAATCTTAGATTATAACAAATTCTCAGAATGCCTGGCTTTACTCTTTCAGCATTCTATTTAAAATTTAAATTATAATCGTTTAGAGATTTAAAGATTCTTACAAAAGTGTTATCAATATGCTAAAATCAATTAATTTAGTTATATAAACTTTAATCATCGATTGAAAAAAAATCGTTCTTTAAATCTCATGTGAGGTAAACGTATAAAAATAAATAATTGAAATCAATCCTAGAAAACTCACGCATTATATGAAAAACAGCAAAAATATTTATCGACCTCGAATGCTAGGATGATCGCTGCAATTATTCCTAAAAAATGAATAAATACGAGCAAATCTGCTCATAACTCACTCGATATTTTCTTCCGCAAAACGCGATTTAATGGAACACATCAGCGTGTCGTGGCACGAGAGCGCGGTATACCGCGTGTATCATTAATTATCGCGATTGTCAATTAATCACTGGCGTTGGGTCGGGTGTCGATCTGTCGACAATTTCTGCTACTTCTAACCTTTCATCCAGAAAGCTATCGAATTCGATCCGCGAATAATTGCGTCGATCGATGCGTCGATCGCCTTCGCTTTTGCGACGGACGATTGAACGAGGCTCGCTCGATAGCGAATCGTGCGCGGAAACATTAGTTAATAAAAAAAAACGATAAATACGTCAGTAGGACTACGTGTAAAAATTTATTTTTAAAAAGAGCAATCAAATCGAAAAATTCACACTATTTCGTGAGCAATTGACAAAAGACTTTAAAGATCTTAATTTTGTTGCGTATCTTTCAGAAATGATTTTCATTTTATCAATTAAAAATTATAATCAAGTATTAAAAGTATCATATATACATAAAAAATTATTTTTAATATATCACAATTACACGCGCGTGCACAAAAATATAACGAGAAGACGTCCATTACAAATCAATGAATAATAATCGTAGATATTATCATTATCATTTCACTAACAATTTAACATGATTAAAATATTAAAAATTTTTAAATAAATAGATATGTCCAACGTCTCTTCATGCATAATATAATAAAGATAATCAGATTGACAATTAATTGAAAAAGTTATTTCGAGTAAATAAATTTCAAATCATACGCGATTCCTTTATTTTCTATATATTCGAATGCACTTTGCAACATCTTTGCAAAATTTCATATTTCCGACTTAAAAAATGCGTGTTATCTTCTATAAAATTTTGATGTTATCTCATTATTCGTAATAAATTCGTAATAAAAGTTCAATAATATAAATTATATATTATAAAAACCTCGCTTCATTAGTCACATAGAAGAGATGGGAGCCTCTTGTCAATTGTTCATAATCGATTGACAGCTGTCAATATCTGTAACATTTATCTAATCACCTAATACGAATAGCGTTAGGAAATTCGGTGTAATCAAACATTAACATTCGAATAATGATACGCGCAAATAGTTTCCTACAAAGTGACGCTTTTGCATGACAATCCAATGGCATTTTCATCATCATTATTGTCATCGCACTTTTATAACGAGGCAAACGGCGCGTGAAATTTTGCGTTTGCCACCAAATTCATTTTCTTTATAACGGAAATTCAACGATCGACAATATTCTCATCGTCATTAATGAAACGTTGGCATTTTCGCTATAGCGGCAAGATTCCCGAGGGAGCGCAGCAGATTCGGGAAGATAATCGTGCGAGAAACGAGGCTTCGTTTTCACGCATTTTGCCAGGCCACGACGTTCTCATTGCCCGAGCGAAACATTGAAACACGCTTGCGAACATGTTTGCGATGTAACGCGATACGACGCGGCGCGATGTGATGTGATGTGATGTGATGTGATGTGATGTGGTGTGATGTGATGTGATGTGACGCGACTCGGCGCGAATTCACACGGCTGAACGACGCGCGGAAAACCGCGCGGAATTCGGTCGCAAGAATGACATGTTGATCACCAGAGCACGCGTACGTTTTCCTCGTGTGCACTGAAAAACTGATGCGCAGCTAGCCGCGGCACGCGGCTGTCCGAGAACATTCACAGAGAATCTCACAGGGCCCGCTGCTTGTCTCCGTCGCTGCGCGTATCCACCAGACGCGAATGCGACGACCTCGGCGACGGTAACAACATCAACAATGACAATGACGACGACGACGATGATGATGATGACGGTGCCGGTGGCGGCGGCGGCGGTGGCGGCGGCGGCGGCGACGACGACGACGACGACGATGACGAGGAAGAAGACAACGGTAAAAACTCACGGCGCATCGTCCTTACGAAGCGTTCCCGTCCGTTTTCGAAAAACGCGCGTCGGCCTAACGTCGCCTCACCTAACCTGCAGGCGCGCGCAACTGGCTGTGTTCGATTGTCGTGAACGACGACAATCGCAAACCCGTCCGCAGCTGTCCGGCGGGGAAACGACGACGATGACGACGACGACAGACGACGATGATGATGACGGCGATGACAGTTCGCGATCCTCCGATCACGACACGCTCGCGAATCGATCTGCGGCACCGCGGTGGAGCCGCGTAAACACGGCGCGGGTAACAGCGGGTTCGAAAATTCAAATCCGCCGCGCCGCGTCCCGCCACTACGACCGACAGGTCCGCCGACCTAACCTCAACCACAGCTGCAGTGTCCGCGACCAGTACCTCGACTGGCGACCGGTATCACCCCCGTGCAGGCTGTGTAATGCACTGCTCGCGTTAAGAGTCAGGTGAATGAAAGAGCAAGAGAGAGACAGAGAGAGAGACAGATGGAGAAAGAGAGGGGGGGAAGAGCAAGACAGAGAGTGACAGAATAGGGATACGAGCGGGCGAAGCGAAGAGAGGGAGCGAGAGGATGCCGCCAGGCCCGTGCGAGCAACCTCGTGGACATGCGAGTGCAGACTGATTGGAGCGTGGAGTGTGAGGGTACTTACCCACGAGGATCGGTGGCGGTGGCGGTGACGGTGGCGGTGGCGGAGGTGAGGTAGAGGCGTGGAGGCACCGACCGGCGGCGGCGGCGGCGGCGGCGGCGGCGGCGGTGGTAGCGGCGTGCGCGTGTGTTTTCAGCCGCCATGACTGGCGCCACCGTAGCGAGCGGTGGCCGCTCGACGTCGCGCACGCGCGACTTGCGCAGTCGCGCGCCGCGCAGCCACGCGCGACGCTCGCCGCGAGTCTCAATCGCGCATGAGACGCGCAGCCGGCAACATTGTTTCGTCGTATTGTCTGACGGCTCCTGTAGAAACGCGCGCTCCGATTTAGATCGCGCCTCGACAGCTTCCTTCTGCGACGTGTCGGTCAATGCTCTCCTTTCTTTGTCTCTCTTGTCGATTTCTTCCTTTCTTTTCGAAAATTCAAACATGCGCCAATATTAATGATAGGATAATTTGATGAAATATTTGTGTTCTATTTGGTGAAATTGGCATCAAATGTGGCGGAGATTTCTGTGCATTAACAATATAT